CAAACACGGAAGTAATATGATTTCAAACACGAAAGTAATATGATTCTGATATACCTTTCTGTACATGCTCATGATAGATTGTTTTTCGTTGATCACCAGCAGAAATACGTTGCGCTTCACGTGAAACATATTTAACAAATTCTACGCAGCAAGCATTTAATAATTCACGTGATTCATTAGCTATTCTCATATCAGGAATAACATCCTTAATAATCATATTCAAACCCTTTTGAGGTAAGCCGATTTCATTTTCTTCATCACCCATTACCTGGAATAAAATAATTAGCAAAAAAATAAAGTTATTATTCATTTTACTGAACTTTATGATGTTCATATTATAAGAATTTGTTCCAAAAGTAAATACAATATATCCAAATAACCCAATAAACAGTTTTACTCGTTATTTTTGTTTGATAAAACTAATATAACAGCAAAGTGTTCAACCATAGGAAATGATTAGCAAGAGAACCATTTCCTACCTTCAAATAATACTTTTCCTACGCAAACTAACACTCATTTGCATAATTCTATAAGAAAATAAGCCAAATTTGTGCTAAATCACTTTTCTTAAATTCATACTATTTTATATTTATTTCAAAAATCACTACATCTTTCTTATTTCTCTCTAAATGAAAGTATTAACTGAATAAAAATAATAAATACTTTTCATGAACTGCTCAAATATTTGTAATCTCTCAAAATTTAAAGACATTACAATTAAAATTCAGTAAAACGTGAAAGAATCTTTTCATTACTTTCTGTATATGACAACTATTTATTCCGATGATAATAATAATTTGTATGAAAAAACTCAAGTAATCAAGAAATCCAGTCTCGTGCAACAATTACAATAACTGTCATCACTGATTTTGACTGTAATGGCAAAATTTGCAACAATTTACTTCTCATAATGATATAAACTAATACTACTGTTTTATTGACAGTTTTTCATAATGCAAACGGTATTTTCGTATTATCTACAAGTAAGCTTAAGTTTCTGAAATATTTGTTGATGAATTTCCAGCTGATAATACTTCAAGTAACAAAACATTTTCAGTAATGCTACAGGAATATTGTATCAAAAATACTAAATACAACTGGCAATAATATGAGATGTTTGATGAGATAAAAAACATCAACAATTTCTATAATTATACTTCTTGACCTATTTTTCGTTTTATCCTCCAAATGACTGGACATTTCTCATCAATAAATGATCTTTCCAGAAAAAAGAAGTTATTTACATCATTAAATACTCTTTAATGTGCTTTTCGATCAGTCTGAAGTAAAAAATAATCGCGTTAAAATTACTTACAAATAGAAAGAAAGAGCAAATAAATTATAACTACTTTTATTTTTCAGCCAATATGCCTTCAGGAAAGTGTAAAGATTCAATAAAACTGAATTACATTTTATTTCTATTTTGCCATCAAGTTGGTAACGTGTTTTGCATGTTTAACAGGCACTTTGATTTTAGAAAGAAACGAATTCCCAATTACTAATCTCATAATTTCTAAATTACCTTAATATTACTGATTCAAATAACAACTTTCATCTCAAAAAAAATCAAAGCAAACATCATAAGCCGAATTCTAATCCATAAAACAAGCTGCTATGCGCATTCAGGCTAACCTGACTCTTTTGAAACACCTAATCGTTTGTATTGTTACTAGGGAACTATAAATTCTTGAATTATTTTTGCACAGTTTTTTTGATTTCTTAGTTACTTACTAATGTCAATTCTCTATATCAGTATTTTGATGAATACGGAATTCTGCAATCAGTCCTAACGCTTACAGAACTCTTGCAAATATCATCTTTTTTAAATTAACAAGTAACTTTAGTCAGAAAGAAACAATTGATGCTCACAAAAAATATAAATAAATTATCTCATAATATTTTTTTAATAGCTAAGATAAAATCTAAATTGTGAAAGCTTGCTTGAAAAATATTCATGATAATATAAAGAAAGCAAGTCGATGAATCTATTTTACACAAAAACAAATCCCAAAAAAGCGTTTTACTTGAAAAGTAACAAATATATAAATAAACTTAAACAAAAACAATTGTTTTATAAGGCAATTAGTGCACAATCCATTCACACAGAAAGGCTAAATTAACTGCGCAGTCATATCTTTTCATTTGTACTTATCCTTTTTTCTAGTACTAATTTCATTGCTACCTAAAAATGGTAACAATAAAAACAAATTACAATTATATTTTGACAGCATTTCCCAAGCCGTCTTTGTCCTCCAGCACTTTAATCCGTCCCAAATTTGTTAGCTTATTGATGATGGCATTTGTCCTCTTCTTAGCATCAACATAAACAAATCTTTCGCTTAATTATTTCACTCTTAAATATTCATAAGCCTTTATAATATATCACTTTACTCCATACCTTCATTAAAAAACGGCTTTTAAGTCCATACTTTCCGTCATCACTTTCTATTCTAAAATCTTGACTTTAATGGCTTAAAGTTATTAATTTGTCTCTTATAAATTAAAAACATTTAATATTTCAAATAAAAACTTGCAGAAAATGAATCCGAAATTGATTCAGTTCCATTCTTTCAAGCTTCAATTCTCAGTATTGAAGTTATTCAAAAATTCTCTAAAATGATCGAAAAATCCTTCCTTTATTTATCAAGTTAACTTATATTCAGAATAATAATCTAGTATTTTCTTTTTAACAAAAGACTAGCAGCTAAATAAACCACTTCTAGCATTTACATTACATTACTCTACATTTTAACCCTCTTCTATTTTATATGTTAATATTATTCTTAATATTTTTCAGTGATTATCTTCACGTACAATAATCACGCTAGAAATTTCAAGTTTCAGCCCCAATTACCTAGTATCAAATTAGCGCAGTATTACTTTCTTTTAAAAAACTGCGCTAATGTGATAGACAAAATTCCCAGCTCACGTCAAAAAAAAAATTAATTCAGAGTTTTTACCTCTAATATTTTCTTACAATAGATATTCCAATTATTAATGTACAAGCAGTACACACTACGAAGCCGAAAAATCTAGTACGTAAGTGAAACGACATATCAAAATATAATTGACAAAATAAAATTTATAACAAATATAATCAGTATCAGTATTTGTGATTTGAAATCATTTGATTTGACAACTTTTAAAATTTGTAACTTTTTAATTCTTAACACTTTATTTCTTCATTTTATCTACTTGCTAAAACTTATTTCTTCAAAAAAGCTTGAGATTAAGCTGCTTATTTCATGTTGCATTCACAAAATAAGAATACATAGTATTTTTCAATCCATTTAAAATTAAGAATAAGAATGAAGTAAGTTCTAAGTATTCCATAAATGATTCCATTTAATGCAAACAACTCATTCTAGCAACGAATATTATTTTCTGCTCATTCATCATGTTTTGGTGTTAGAATTAAAAAGTTGAACATTGCATCGCTCTCAGAAATACTGTATATCTTATAATTTCATTGAAATCTATTTATCCTCATTTTGATTACAAGCATTAATGTCAACAAAATATTTGCTACCTAATCTGCTTCATTATCTTTCTTTTCAATACCTTAAAAATAATATTTACTGATTCTTTTTTCAAATGTTCTAAACATTCAGAGCGATATTACATTTTTCACATATCATTTGGTAATGGTAGATTAGTTGTTGAGCACTTATTTTCGAAAAGTAACATTGTATATAAGTCACCTTCATCTGCAGTAAGTATGTAAGTAGTAACCACATTATTACCAAATAATCGCTCACGAAATAATTTGCGCAATCTCATACGATCCCATTATATATGATAACACTATAATAAATGCTAATTAGCAACGTTACAGCAATAAATACTAGCAAACAGATGCTTGATAAGTCTTCACAACTATTTACTTTCTCAACATTTGAATCCATTAATCCTTGATTTAAATCCACTAATTGTATTTTAATCACTTTTCAAAAAAATAATAACATGAATAATACTATTATTCATTATTTCGTCAATTCTATACTTTTATCTCTGCTTACCTCCTTTTCCACTTACCACTTTGCTCACAAAACCACATAAATATTTTTATCAATTTTGAGCTAAAACACTCACTAAAGATCAAATGAAAATTTGCAATGCAAATTGAATACCTCACTGATTGCCTCATTCATTTGTCTCTCATAAAGATTTAGGTTTTATAATTTGACATACAACCCATTACATAAGAGATAGATAGATCATTTGTATTACTGTTGCCATTATTCTCGATCCAGTAACATCGTATACATTACTTCTGTAAAATTCGAATGAATGTCATATTAGAAGTTGAGTATGTTTCACAAAAAATTCTTGATATACTTCAATTCTTTCCAGTGAAATGACCAAATATTACTACCTATGTCCATGTTCATGCAGTAATGAAATAAAGCTGTTATACTTCTACTTTTGACATATAATAAGCATTTTCAGCGAAAGTAATAAATGTAATGCTAACTGAAGAATGATACAGTAAAAAAACTGCTTATTAAGAAACTGTCTTGCTTTCATCCTGTAAATTTTAACTCTTAGTTCTTCATTTTATATAAAATTTCGGATTAGGCCCAGCTTATACCAAAATGTTTCAAAGTCCGTTTTTTGATAAGCTGCGAAATCGAAAAAAAGAAAAAACACTTCTCATATTTCTTTTAGATCACCATTTCTGACGGAAAAAAAGTAATTCAAAATGAAAAACAAATTATTGAGCTAAAAATATTCAAAATTTGGAGAACATACAGAAGTAGCTAAAGATACTATTTAATCCTCAATCTAGGCTGCCCCTATACTCTTATAATTTTTGAATTTGAAGTATTTAATTAGTTCAAAAGACAAAATTTGTAATTTGCTTGTATGATTTAACAAGTTGTCTTCTATCGATGCTGAATAAATATAAGAAAACTTGACTCTTTTATGCATAAATTCTATCTACTTAAGCATAATTTTTGTAAGCCCCGCTTACATTAATTTACAACTTTAACGTAATTAATAATTCTATCCGATAACAATCATACTTCTTTCAGATTACCAAACAGTATCTAAGCATTAATTACTCTCACCAATAATTTTATATATTACTTACACTTAAGACACAAACTATTATGGTATCAATGTTGACAACAAGCATTCCTCACGAATTCAACGAATATATTCCCACACTCACCATTTATCTTAACACAACAACTGAGAGAACGATGCTATCTCCAACAGAAATCTCGCTATACAATCATATAACAATCATTGCCTACTGCTATATCTCACCTTTAATTTGCATATTTGGAATAATCGGTTAAATCATAACTGATTTGTACATAAAATTGGTTATATCTTCTTTCGTAAATAAATTGTCCAATTTTGATACATTTTGTACTACAAAATTTTAAATATTCTCAATAATTAAACAAGTTTTCATTTTTTGTACTTAAATCATTTTTAATCTTAAATTTCCTGAATATTTTACATGTATATCATAATACACTATCAATCAATGCAAGTAATTAAGCTACTTTGAGTTTTAGAAATTAATTGTAGAACTAGTTTACAGACAGAAATACAGTATCAGATATTAAGTAATACAGTTTACTATTTATAAACTTTAATTAACTACAAGTAAACATAAATAATACAACAATAATGTATTTAAATTACAATAACTATTACTTACAGGTAACATTACGAATTTGATAGTGTTATCAAGCAGAAGACTTCGAGCTGTTTCATATATGTATTTACGAGCTTTAGCAGTAGCTGATTTGTTATGCATGATTTTTGTGTTATTATTTGTAATTGGTGAGATAGCAACACACGCTGGTCTACCTCTAGAGAAATCATATTTTCAAGCATTTTATCGAGCTCACCTGATGCTTTTCCTCATCAACTGGGCATCATCTACTGGTACCTCAAACCTATAAGCTTCACATATGCTAGCAGTATAATTCTATAAAATGAGCATTTCATTTATTACCAGGTGTGTTAATTGTGGTCGCCCTAAGTTTCGATCGTTTCCTATCCATTGTTTTCCCTACATATTTCCGTACATGGAATGTATCACAACGAGCACATCAAACCATTTTTGCAATTTATACTATTACTGCATTACTGCAAATTCCTTATGGTATTGGACGATATACTGTGGATGAAAATATCAATCAGGAAGGAACTACAATTTATGCTTCGATAGACAGCGAAGTATCAAGAACATTGCAGTGGCAGGTTCAAATAAGATTTCATTTGGTCCTTTTTTTCTTTCAAATTTCACGTGGAAAATGGTTTCGCATTCAAGAATCAGCCATTGAAATTACCGGAAACATCTTATATTTCCCTCGCATTTAAGTAGCAGTTACTAAGTTTTTTGCTTTATGGATATGAATATAAAACTTAACCAATATAACTTTATTTCCAAACGTGTGTCATATCCTGGAACTTCTCAATACCGAAATAACAGAACTGGTTTATTCATGACTGCTACTAGATTATAATGCAAAACTCGAACTAATTGTGGTATTGAGTAGGATTTGGTAACATAATCAATAAACCTTCATAATTTTAATGAAGAATTATCATTCAGTGATTTTATTTATGATAATAAGACTGTATTATTATTTTATTAGGAGGAGACTTTTGTCCCGAAATATTTTTATTTCTTTAATAAAAAAGTTACGAAAATCTCGTACAACTTTTGATTTAAACTTACTCTTAGGAAAAAAAGCCCAGAAAATTATAAATAGTAATAGTTGATAAATAAGAATGAAAAATTGTCATAAATGGGTTGAAATGAAAAACGATGCACCATGCTACCATTTGTAGTCATTTATTTATAGTGTTCAATAACTCTCTCTAACTGATACTACATTTTGATCTTGGTTTAGATTGCATACAAATAGTTCTACTGATAACTTTAAGTAACTCCATCTAGAGCAAATGATCCTAATTAATATAATAATTTTTTCTATCACCTATTACGTATATATTCCAACCATTAAATAATCTAGTGATCACTTTTTACACATGCTAATATCACAAGTTATTTCAATATAATATCATTTTCAGATTTATAAATGGACTCGAGAAGGATTACTTCGTTTTGCTCCCATTCTTATCCTATCAGTGCTCAATATTAAAATTATGACTGCATTCCGACGACGACAAAAATTATTTGTTCACTTGACAAATAGAAAAAATCGAGGAAATTTTACTAACGGCTCAGGAAGTAGCAAAGACGATACTTTAATATACATTTTAGGTGGTATTGTGGTCATGTTTTTTATCTGTAACATACCAGCTGCTCTAAATCTTCTCTTCATTAACGAAACTATCAAGCTACGAGTAGACTATCATTTATTTCGCGCTGTTGCTAATTTACTGGAAATAACAAATCACGCATCACAATTCTATGTCTTTTGCGCTTGTTCTACTGCGTATAGAACTACATTTCTAGAAAAATTTCCCCTTTCTGCATTCTCTTCTTAACAAAAACAGACAAGGTGCTGCAGCGTTACTGGCAGTATAGATGATGATTGAAAGAATTTTCATCTTATGAAGAATCTGTTCTGCTAAATAGTAATTGAATTCAAACCTAATACATAGCATTAGGGGTTAACTCTGACTTCCTATCCAATACTAGCAGAATACATGCTTTTTAAACGTTCTAATGATCAGATTCTGTGTAAATATCACTAATCAACCGCAGTAGAAGCATGTGCTATATTTTGACAAAAAATAAATTGCATGAAAATTGTTATTTGCGATGAAAATGCAACACATTCCTGACTGAATGAATGAAGCTACTGCTCATTCATGCCACAAAAAATTTGATTAATGATCCTGAAAACGAAATTGACTGTAACATACCAATAATGATCGTACCACTCAAACCAATTTACGATAGGCAACCAAAGATTGTCCAGCAAATGCTTCTTTCCTCAAACAACGCGTATGACTGAAAACATAAAAGTTTATACAAGAAGCATGTTGCCGAATAATTGAAAATTTCAAGAGCGAAAAATCATTCAGAAACAGTCAAAACATCAGCAGTACCAAAAAACTTCATACCAAAAAACCTTCCATCGAATGCTTAGAAAATATAGCTTCAAAAAGTGTCACAAAAAAGTGAATAGCTAGCTTCGTGCAAAAAAATGTTTCTGAAGTAAATACTTGTGCGATATCATAATGTGATTATCAGTTACTACAGCAATGACTATGTTAATACTGAATATTTTTCGTTATTACTGCTTTTATTTACGAAACTATACATGAATTACTCAAACTGGAACGTCTGCGCAGAAAAACTGTTAAATGCATAGAAACCGTACTTAATTTTATCTACTTTATTTTCAATTAAAAAATTAAGCGTATGAAAATAAAATGCTTATCTGAACTTTTTCAAAAATCAAAAACATTGATCCTGCACTTGAGATATCAGTGTACATTTAGTTGCGATAAAGATAAAAAGAAAATTGATAATCTCATCAATTATTTGATAACGGATACACTTACATTTTAAGATGATCTTCTGAGGCACAGTCAAAAAAGTTCCACATCCAAACTTTATGCACTATAATAACACTACAAGCATTGTTGTTTGTTGAGAATCTTGATGTAAGAAAAGTCTAGAGAACCAAAAATTAAACTAACCTCGTAACTACAACAAATCTTCGTTAGCAACTTCAAGACTAACTTTTCATTTACTGAAAATAAGTACCTCAAAACGATCAGTAATCTTGCTCACAGTGCAGCAAACTAACAGAGTCAAGCACACTGACTACCTTAGACTATGTGAAATGTACTGCTGAGACCACAGAATCCTAAATTTTGCCCCTTTCCTCACCTTTTAAATAATCCCTAACAATTTTCATTTCAAGCGTGTACATGCCATACGCCACATCCCCACTTCCATACATTACTCTCCCGAGCAGTGATCAGTCTCTGGTAAAATTACATGTACTTCTAGTTTGGATGCATAATAAATATAAACTGAAATTACGAATCTCACTAAATCTCAGTGTTATAATAGTACCGACGAACTTTAAAAGTACTACCTTTGAAGAAATTATACAAAATAAAAAAATTATCGATAATATTACGTATATGTTCAAATGGATACCTGGTGGAAATGAAACTGCTATGTAATTTGCAACTTCAACAGAATAAATTTATTATTTAAAATAGTAGAAATGTTCAAATACTGAACATTATTATAGAAGCGATAAACTCATTCAAAAATACTCTAAAAAGAAACAAAGCTACAAAAAGTGAACTCTACAACCTCAAACACAGAGTAAAATAGCCTTCAGGTATAAGAACTCTCAAACGTTTACCAAAAGGTAGGAAACAATTTTTTCATTCAATGAACAACAGAAAGATACATATCATCAAAAACTGACTAAATCATAATTCCTATTTTAATAACATTAAAGAATACGAAAACAATATTTTTTAACTCTGTTCATACAATGCATGAATCACTTCCACATTCATGTTCCATATCGAAACTAAACAATTTTTTCCCAACCAAATTCAAGCCAAATTGATTGCCACTTCTTTTTCCCAACTAAATTGTAATTATTTCAATGAGTCACTTCTTCTTTCTGTTGACCAATCTGCAAAACCTGAAGCTGAAGTGTACACATTATCAAATTCCCACCACGAAAAGAACCAATGTTGAAGGAAAAATATGTAACTTTCAAAACTACATTTACAGATTTTTGACATAAAAACTGCAAGAATGAAGCTAAAAATCATGGAATTCCATGATTAACAAGGATTGTTAGTTGTTTTTACGATTCCAATCATGTATGTCTTTGAAATCATTTTGAGCTTTCCCAAACTCAATTGGATATTAAAATTTTGGTAAAAGTTGCTGTATTGCATCCTGAATTACCAGGTACTTGATTTATTTTTTGATGCACAGTTTTATGACACATAATTCACTGTCCTCAATCACTCAGTACTGGAGCTTATTAAGTATTAATTGATGAATCCAATAAAGTTATGATGCTAACAAAGAACTTTTAATTTCCTAAATAAAGCAATTTTTTCCAGTCTTTATATTCAATTTTTTAACGAGCTCTACAAATAACCTATCAAATTCGAGCAATAAAATACTAAGTAGACTAAAGTGAATGTGAAAATATCTGCAATAGCTCACAAACACTTCGCATTAGCTGTTATAAGCAAAACAAATCAAATAGCTTCGAAATCACATTTTAATTAAATTCATTTCCGGTTTCTTACCCTTCATACTAAGTGTGGTAGAAGAGCAAAGTGAAACAAAAAGCCTGAAAAATAAGCAGCGTTTTGCACTTAATTGAGCCTATCAAATGAACGAAAAAAAGTCGCACTTACCAAATGTATTCATGAAAGCAGCTTGAAAAACACTAATAATCAATTTAGAACTTACGAGATATTCACGAACGATTGCATGGCACACGTTGCAGGAAATGCATTGCTCGTATACCATCCTGAGACATTCTCGGTAACTGCGGGTTTCCATTAGCCACATCTGCATTTGCCCAGTACCCCATTCTCAAATTCCAAAATAGAGAACGGTAAAAACAGGTAGCATCCATCTTCTGAAAAGAAATTAAATGATACCCATGCGTCGAACCGGCTATTTATAGACGTAGACATATAACAATTTGGAACTGAGCCAACAAATTTACCAATGCTAAGTGTGCTCTTGCAAAACACGGCCTCATTATGAAATTTTAACGGCATCATTCCTGAAGACTTGTTTCTAATGATAGAAAACAGTACTACTTTTCGCGGCACTTTTGAGGCTTCCTTTTATCTATTCTTCACTAATCTCACGTCACGATCAAATATAGACAGTGCTCATGACGAGACTACTGTATGCCGTTTAGTATCGTACGAGGCTAACAGGCAGTCCCTCGGTTAGTTTTCTATAGAACTGTCTTTTGAATAGCTGAAATTAGCTTCTGGAATTTGAGTGTTCATCGGGACCGTCAACTTATTTTAATTTTTTAATCTCTAAAATGTTCTGCCAAAATGCAGTTATGCTCGAGAGCAAATATGAGATTCACGCACTTTCTGGCCTCTCTCAGAACAGAACATCTATTGACGTGGATATCTAACAATGTGGAGCTGAGCCAACAAATTTTCCGCTGCTAAGTGTGCTCTAGCAAAACACGGCCTCATTATGAAATTTTAACCTTCAGGCATTTTACTAGCTAAATATGGAGGGTGTTTTGTAGAAGTTATTCTTTCACTAGAATGTTTTTCGTGCCTTGTCATGTCCTCATAGAATCTTCATGCCACCTTGCAATATCGGTCATTGACTTGGGTGAATTCTGTGTGGTATATTTTTAGTTCACCTTTCCAAGCAGGTCTACTGTGTCTATCTCACATCCCCAGGCTTCTCGCATCAGTACCAGTTGCTTCTACTTACATCTAGACAAGCCTGAGACTTGTGTGGAGTTCTTGCTCAAAGTGCGTATCTTGTGCATTGACACGTTTTGCATGGACAGCTTCTGCGACTACAATCGCAAAACTCGTCGGCTTCCTCAGTTCTTAGGGGTTAATTGCACACGTAAAACTTCCCGCAACACGGATAAGAATATCAGAGCTATTCGCCACTAGACATCCTCCCAAAACGATAGAGAGCTGCTTTTTTAGCACTACGTGTGGTCAGGTGCTGACTGATATTTATTGGTATCATTGATGTGGATGGAAAAATTAGATTATTCGAACTCTTTTTGCATTCCCACATTAAGACTTCTGTACTTCGAGGAGCATCTGTTAACTAAAGTAAGCGCAACTGAAGCATCAGCTCTATTTAATTACAGACTTAAACTTCCCCGCAAACATTCTGTTTATTTTACTCTACCCGCCTGCTATTTTATTCCTTCCTGCAAATCTCACAAGCAGTGTGAACTTTAGTTTATTTATTTTCAAGATTCAATGACTGTTATACAATTAAAACCTGATAGAACAGCGTTGAAGATCCAGCGCACGTCTTAAAGAATGAGAGCTCAAGCTTGATTGAGTTTCCTTAGTTCCTTTACGTCCTTATCGATGTTCTCATCTCCTGCGTGTTTTATACGTAAAGCATCGTCCAATCTTCGCTTTTTAGCCTCATTCATTACTTCAGCTACGTATTAATTCGCTGTGTTATCATATTTCTTAACTAATTGCGTCTTTTATTGCTTACGGCATTTTAAGACTTTAAGACTGCGAGCTTATTATCTGAATATTGTCTGTACTAGATCAATTATATTAATAATCCTTTCCATACACAATATCAAATTTTCTGACTCATTTTTTTCATGCATTGATTCTTTCAGAGAGTCTAACAGCAAACTTTTAGAGACTTAATCACCTTTGCGATCAAATTGATAACCACAAAGCCAACAGCGTTTCAGAGCATTTCAGCTTGTAGCTTACTTGCGGCAGAAGATTTTGTTCCCATTTTATAAATGAATTAATGGCACAGAGAGATATGGGTTTGTTTTACCGAAGGACAGTACGGATAAACCTAAATGCTGGATTTATCAACGAGCACTCCACTTAAGCTGCTGTCTCATTATTGAAGCTTGTTGTCAGACCTAATGCATCCAAATCACCCACTTTCCCGTTATCAAAATTGGTTTCTGAATCTTCTCCTTCATTTAATAGTAAAAAACCATTTCGCTTATTCGTTCCGCATTAGATAACAGAAGATTGCTGAGAAATAAATATCTGACGACATACCACTACTTTTATTACTCAGTCTAATATTGGGCCCTAAAAAATCTTACTTAAAAGCTACTTTCCCATCCAAAGTCGAATTTAGGAAGACAGCTTCCTATTTGCTTAATTGGAGACGAGCCCCAGGAAAATGCATTTAGATCTGATTAAGTAATAAGACGGATCTGCCTAAATGGCAAGAAGCAACTTATATTTCTATTAAATAACAACTTACTTGATTCCAGTTCTCCAAACAAAGATAGCGAATTACCTGTATGTCAGACTTTATTAGTTGACAGCGAGATGTGTGTCACGTGCCATGGATGTCGCTGTTGTGGAACGAATCTTCCGCATATTAATCTGGTGCTAAAGTTACAGAATCGTTGACTCTCAAGAGCATCAACGATTGTGTAACTTTCTTCAGTGCTGTATTTCCTAAAATTAATGAGAATTCTAACACGCAAGCTGTTTTCATTAAACGGTAAAAATTTTGAAATGATCTGAAAATGAAATTTTTGTCTTTAACAAGCTCCACGCATGGTAATTTTTTATCATTCCATAAAGAATAAATTGTTTGCTTCAACATTCTAAATAAGTGATTCAGTAAGAATCAAAAGTTCACAGCGACAAAAATAAAACTGACTATTTTACAAAATAATTTTAAAATAATATTGCTTGAAAAAGAAATTAGTAAATGAGGTCAAAAGTCCAGGCGGTCATTAAGTGATATTACGACATTAGACAGAGCTCCGCATTTAATTTTTTCAGTGCCTTTTAATGAAACGTTGCTATCAGATCGCAGTAAACGTGTCAACAGAGCGCAGTAATACGACCACAGCTTTGCATCATGCTGCAATTTTTCATGCGAAATAATCTCAAACAGTAGGATTTTATCATATTGTGACCAATTTGTATGCGACTTCAAATGATATTATTATCACTATTATCACAGTTGACCAACTGTGATAATAGTGATATTAATATCATTGGTATGGTCTGGTCTCAATTCATAGTTCAAATAATATGGATTATTATAGTGGATTACCTAGAAGAGTTTGCAAAAAATAGTGATTTTAATAATTTTTGAATTTGCATCAAGTATCAAATAAAATGGAACCATGACGAAAGCAATTAGTGGTGTAATGTTTTTGTTGAAAAACAATAACTGACTAATGTTTTTGCTATGATCATCAATATTACAGCTTGGTAAATAAATGGTTTAATTGACCAAATGTGATAATAATGGAAATCGCTTTCACTAATCACATCATTTTATGAAGTAATTTATTACGAAAATATTAATGTATTATAATACTGCTATAACGATTTATTTTTAGTACAATTCAAGATGGTAATACTGTTAATTAACGAAATGAAAGATATGCTTACTTTGATGTCCATCTTACATTCGATTTTTTTAGGACGCAGTCTCTAATAACAGTCGAAACTTTCAGTCGTAAGCAACCCGATTTCCACTTGTGTGCTCCACTGTGAACAAATGGTCGATCTCTTCTTCATCTGTTGCTGAAATGGTTTACGTTATGTCCAGAATCTAAATCATGAATATAACACACCCATACAGGGAGATTAGATTCATAAATTAAAAAATGAGTTAAAATAACATAAAACAAGGAAATGAATAAATAAACAGTAGATGAAAAAATAAACAGTCATAAATAGTACAATAAAATGGATGAATACATTTGTTTTTTCTGAATTACCTATATGATGCATTTCCTAAATTACATATATTTCTATATTATATATGATAAAAGAAATTAAGGTATTAATAGAAAAGTGTTTTACAATCAGTACCAATTATGAAGAATCAGTGAGTTCAGATTGACTGCAAACAAATGAGATGAAAACGTAGATTCAATCAAAAAAAAATACCAAGTGAAACTTGGAAGCACAAACTGCGAATATTAAGTTTGCAAAAAATACCTTATGACTTCTGCTTGGCTGATCCTCTATCGACCAAAGCTCTGAAAATTTAAGCCGAAAAAAAAACCACTTCGATACAGAAATGAACTTTCTAATGTTAACTAAAATACCTCACTCTTAACTCCATGCTCCCCATATCACAATCTAAAAATCTATTGTTTTGAGAATTTCTACGCTTCCTAACTAACTTATTGTGGTTTTCATGTCCTTTTTTACTCATACTAATTACCAAAAGTTCTAAGAAAACATTTACGGAAAAAGTAACCGTTACCAATAAAGAAATTTCCTGCTACTTTTCGGTACCACAGTGATCACCTGAGAATCCTAAAAACCTCCTAATTAATTAGTTCAATATGAAAAGCTTTTCTCGAAAAAATAAAGGAAAGAAGGGAGAAAATGAAATAAATAAATAAATTAGAACGATAAGAAAGCAAATAAATAAGACAAAAAGTTACAAAAAAGACAAGAAAGACAGATACAAAGGTTGAAGAGAAGTAAAACTTAAATTATTATAAAAAAATACAAAAAATATCGCTCAATAATAGAAACTAACGTAAAATTAAAAAAAAACTTTACTGCACATCGACTGCGACTCGTCGTGCAGCTCTTAACGCCCATGACGCTTGCGTCTCTTGCGTTTTTCTTAATATTTCGCAAAGGCTATAATGTACTGTCAAAAACATAGTCAAGAAAAAATGTATAAATTTCGTACAAAAATAATGAATGATTACCTTCATAAAAAACATTTTCTAACCCATAAGTATGTAAAATAATAGAAATTGGAATACCTGGCGGGAAGTAGAGCTATGTTGCGTCCCTGCCAAGTGTCCTGAGATTATTTTGCTTGTCGGCTCGTTCGCGTAAAGTTCAAGTATAGAATAAATATCAAAGTTCAAGTAATTCAACTATTGATCGTTAAGGGACTTCAGTTTTCTCCACGCGATATAGAGAACGTGTGGCATTGATAGTATGTGTAAGTATGCTTGCGATAGCTGAAGAACCTTTCTATCTTTATTTTGTGTTCGGTAAGTTGCAGTTTAATGAAAGTAACGTTTTAAATTAATTCTTAATATCCGTTGTGGTAAACGTGACGTTTGCATGTCCTTTGTTCACTATTCCGCAAATGAAGTTCTTATCAACTGCGAGAAGTAATTCTGTTTCCAGGGATAGAAAAAGTGACAGTCGCTTTTTCCAAGAAGCGTTTTTGACTGTACATAGTTTATTGTTTAGTCATAACTCCTAGTATTTTCCAAAAAGGCATCGTTTTGTTATGTAATACTGGGAAGCACAAGATTACATTTTGCACAGCCGAAGATAAAAGAAGTTTCCAATTTACGAGGTAAATGTTTTTCGAACGAATTATGGGATGGTGATAACTTCAAACGAGCTTTTCACCGGGCTCTCATACATTGTACATTTGAAGCGAAATTTGCTTTGAAGTACCAAGATCGTGTAAATTTAACTTAGCAGAACTAATAATCTCGACTGAATATTTTTTCGTCACGTGTGCTATTAATGGATCACGTGTACTAATAATGGCAGGCAAGATGTCAGCAGTAGGGAAACTCTGGTTGTGGAGTTAGGTTGTACATCTACAACTTCTTGCGTCCAAGTATTTTTGCAATAAATAGTTTTTTTATTTATATGATTCCAATTTAATTAGCAAATGAAATTAATTTCTGGATCGTCAACGAATTCTCCTTGCTTAGTACGGGATCAATTACTGTGGTCATACAGTTGCATTGTTTCATAAAAT